TACTTCCCTTTGTTGTGTCGAGCTGTCCTCTAGAAATTACAAAATCTCGTAAAGCTAAAGTCCATAGAAACTACTTGTCAACTCTTGTGAAGAGTACCTGCGAACCCTGGGAAGCAATAAACACCACGATGGGAAGCAGGACAAAGGCAAAATGACCCCCTCCAAGCCGAACTGCGCTCAAAATTCCTTCACCCTTTCCCAACGCAATCCCCCTCGACAAGTAAATATGTTCCAGCTAACAGCAACTCTCCAACTGAAGCACTCGTTAAGGAGTTCTCAATTCACGGCCTGCCCTATTCCCTGCTTCCACCCCCCCCCCTTTATCGCAATTTTTAGAAGGGCTAAAACCACGAAATTGCCACTGTGATTTGCCTGAGATCTCCCGCTACCCATTTTATTGTCAAACAATCATTGCACAGCGCAAGAAAGCTATGGGAACCCGTTCAATGAGTCTAATTTCACGCTTTGGACATAAAAAATATGCGCCCATCATTTGCAGCTGGGCAAACCTGACCCTTGTCTACTCTACCGTACGCCCTCATTAATCATACAAGATACCTGTTTGCAGTGTGCTCAATGTCTGTTTACTGTAACGACCATTTGGCGTACCCCCTCTTCACGTCCTGATTGGTGTGACCCGCTCGGCGGACCCAGTCGGTCCACCGCGCCGCGGGTAAGCCTCTTATTGACATGCCGCGCTGATTCACTTGCAAACGAGTCAGGTGTTACTCAGCGTCTACTTGAGGCGGCCGATTTCCAGTCCAAAGGAATGATGGACAGAGAAATTCGAGCTCTGCAATTGGCGCTGGTAGGACAGCACAATGGAAGATTCTTATGGCGAAATTCCAAATAACTCTTGAGGAACTTCGAGAAAGGCTGGGAGATTTTTTTTAATCCAAAGATTTTTGACTAAATTTCCCACTGCCCAAACCTCTCATGAAGGAAATTTACATACCAGCCGCACTTTACACTTGGCACTTTCGCCACCCTATTCACACCATCGCCCTATTCACCCTATTCTCGCCCTATTCACAGCCTTCACACATCCCTGGAGACTTAACGACCACTCTAACGAGAATTTCTCACCTGCCGCCTGACCATCGGCTTAATTGTCCAATATCATCAGGGCCAGTAAGCACGTCATTGGGAGAAATCTTCTCGAAATTGAAGTTTTGGAATGAATGACTCGAGAACGAGCTTGTCTAGCGGGAAAGGCTACGGACTGACTGAGAAACTCGGTGAAAGGGAAAGGGCAGGGAGAGGTGGCCGAAGTCGGGCATTATTTTGGCATGGTAGGAGGACTTTTTAATGGTGATATGAGCCGTTTAAAGATTAAATGTTTGAAGCGTGCTACCTACACCCTCTCCAGCTCCATGGGTATGGACCGGGAGGGTCCCGAGAAGCTTCTCATATGAATGATGAACCCAAACACCTGATTCCTGCCTATTTCACTTCCATTTATTCCCGGAAAAGCTCCCGAATGAGTACTTGAACCTATGATGGCCTGCTTCAATTAAAGTAGCAGTTTTATATCCTCGAACAAAGCTGGGAGGGTGAATCGGGGGGGGAGGGCGGTAAAAACCAAGGCTGAACCTGAATCCATGCGCTCAGGCCCCGGGAATCCTCAGCGGGAGAGGGGTCGTATTTGATCGTAGGAGAGGGGAGAAAAGGTGGTAGAGTGGTAAATGCTTTTGAAAAAGTTTCTCAGCCACTCACTTCCATTGGTTTTCCTGTTTCGTGTACGCTCTAAACCTTCCTCCCCCTTTTCTTTTCATGCGCGCTACATATCCTCTGCTCGACGACAGTTTCTCAAGGAACTCCTGGAAAACTTCCGGGAAAAAAGGTAGAAAGCCGGGAAAATTCTGAAAGAGGGTAGGTAGGATTTGTGATTAGAAGGGGTCACATCAAGAGGGAATTTCGGGGGGGGGGGTCATATACGCGAGATTTCCCTCCCACTTCTGCATTGATGGCATATTCCTCACTTCCATACACCAGTACAAAGTGCAAAGCCTCACCGTCTCCGATCTGATCTCATTCTTGATCGCTTCGATTCGGAGTCTCTTCTCGTCGTTCTCGCACAGCTGAATCTGCTGCAGACCATCCGTCTGGCTCGTTCCGCCCGCGATAAATGCCTAAACAAGGACTTTTTCATTGCTGCTGACAAAGTCACGAACAGGGCCTTCAAATCGAATAAAACATGACCCACTTTCTCCTTCACTATCCCGTCCTTGCCCGGCTCCATTACCGATGTCACATGACCTGTAATGAATCGTTGAACATTCCCCTCTCTACGCGCTCAATAACAGATTGTCACCAACACTACCGAAGGTGTCATAGATCGACCAGATGAAAAAAAAACGTTCGCTCGCTCGTTGCGTTGGCGCCCAACGCTGCATTCATGACGCATTCAGTGTGTTCTATGACGGGGGAGACGAGGGGCGCCAACTATAATTACAGTAGCATGGCGCATGTAAACGAGCGAACCAGCGCCACGGCCAGGCCGATGGCCTTGACGTTAATCAAATTTGAGACACCGCACACACGCGATAACACCTACCGTAGTCATTAAATGATCAAATGATGACAAGATGCCCAATAAAACTATTCGAGTTCAGAGATTACCCAAGAAAGGCTCTACATTCACCTACCAACTAGGTAATCCTGTTCCGTCAATTGTCGTAACATACGTTGATCACCTAGAGCCATTGCAGTGTCTATCGGCGCATCTACTGAGCATTCGCCGGTCTGTTCTGCATCATCGGCCTCTTTGGTTTCTTTTGCGGCGCCTCGCTTCTTGTCACCGGATGGGCCAGCTTTGTCCTTGGCAGTCTCCTGAAATGGGCACACATCAAGCGCAATTGACGCACAGAAATCTATGAATAAATCAAATCAATAGGGCAATTTACACTTTCCTATTGGTCTGGACACGTTCTATTGCTGAGGTGAATCCCCGACACCTTATTGCTAGATGATTAGAATTCAGCGTCGACATCGCTGTAAAGCCACTCCATCATTGCCCTGTCGTCTCGCTGCTGCCACTGTGGACGCTCGGCGGGAAAACAAAGCGCTAGCGTTCACTTATGAATGGACTCATCAACTTGATACCCCCAGCTCCGAGCTATTCAGAATTTAGCACCAACCCTTGGATCGACAACTGTTCATTCCCGACCGCTGGCCTCTCCGCTCGGACTCTGAATCAGCCTAATGAATCTTTTGGATTAAAGGCTATTCACAGGCTAAACCACCGTGTGCTTGCGTGATAGGTGAGAGCCAAAGCTTCTTCCAAAAGAGGCGGAAAGTATTACTGGTAAGTGGAAGAACCCAGCGCCAAGAGGAAAAATTATCATGGCAGTGACACAAAATTGGAATGGTCGATTTTCAAGAACTTTTTATTTGGTAGAACGATCGAGTTTCAGCGGCTTTTTTTTACTTCGTTATCTGAAGTTCCGCTGCCAAAAGCCACTAAAACTTCCAGCGAGAAGTTATTCAACTGGTTAAAACGGTAGAGCGTTTGCGCTGGGAAGGCTTGATGACTAGCCAATTCGCACCCGAACATCGCTATGATCGAGCAAAAGTTGGATATTGAATTTTACTGATTTCAAGATTTCAATAAGAAAAACGATCCATAAGATTTACGGTTAGCAGGTACAGAAGGGGACTTGAATGGGAGGTGAGAGCTCTTCCTTCCCGCTTCGTCCATCAAAGGTTTTTTTTTTCGTTTTTTCGGCTTTTCCGAGTGAATTACTGAAGTCAAGCAGTTTTGACACACCATTCGATTCAAATTTCTTTGGAACTTCAGTCCAGTAAGGCTAGACAACCCCTCAAAAGCCTCTCAGATGGAGGAATGATTACTTTCTACACTTGAACTACCTAGACCGGACGAAAAGAAGTCGAGGGAAACATTTTATTGAGATTCCGCACTCGGTGAAGCTCCCACACCGGAACAGAACCCCAGAAGACACTAAAATGTGACTGGGGTACAGAGCACATTGGACCCTTGGACCTTCCAGCTCATAAAGCCGAAGCTAGCGCAATGAGGAAGAGCGTGAAGTTTTCATTTCAGTATGATTGCTTGTTCAGTCCTCCGCAGTTCCGACAATGAGAGCTTTGACTTTTGGGCGAATCAAAACTCACCTAGGGCCCAAAAACATCAGATAAAATAAGACGACTGGCCACGGGGCCACCTTCAAGGGCACTCACGTTCCCAGGTATGAAACAATTATTAGCCAGGGCATATCACCTTCGAAAGCTTCAAAGGAGGTCAGTATTTAGGTTTGGGAAGAGGTAGTCTGGCCTGAATTATTTTCATTTTCAGTTTTCCAGGTGCGGTAAGACACATGTTTTTGGAGCCCTCCAGCTTTCCCTACTCTACAACTGTCAGCCCTTGCCCTCTCTCCCCGCTGCTGTTCTCAACCCTTGCGTGACCACCCGATTCATATCTAGGTAGACATAAATAAATAAGCACGTGGCGTGTACACCCGTAGACCCACTTAAGTCCTTACCTCCTTCAGTGCAATGTTTAGGCGTTCAAGCGTAATAGGACCCGGAAGCAATTAGCCGACACATTCTCACGGGATAATGAGGTCAGCTGGACATAGCGAAAAGAGCTTGGCAAAGCTTCAGCAGTAAAAAGTTTTACAGGATAGAACGTTCGGGAGGCGCAGTTCAGCAGCGTAGTCTATCCAAGGAAATGGTCGAGGTTTCAGCAGCACTTCTCATGGTAAATCCCGATGGTTCCGAAAGTCCTTGAGACAACCAACTCAGTACTTCTACCCAGAGAGGCTTTCTAATGGCCTGCCTAGGTGGCTGGAAGTACTGCGACGCCAGATATCAGGACCGAATGACTGCAACCATATGCGTCCCCAGCATCTGGTAATGGGCAATTTGGCTAATTTTGTTACTTCTGCGAAAAGAAATTGCACAGCTCCTGCTCATTATTCCAAGAGCGACATCAAAATACTCAAGGACATTAATGGATTACTCATCACTAGTCCTTGTAAGCTAAAGAACGCCAACTAGGACACGTCGTGCGCCGAATGTTCCCTAATGAGGGGCGGGGAGATCTTTTTTTCCAGTCGCTTGCACTTGACCGTCTCAATATTTACTCTAAACATCAGGACAAACAACTGTCCCCAGCAAGGCACGTCGTACTAGGGATCCCCAGTAAGGGGGGGGGGGCGTATTTGTTAGCGAGAGAAGGGAAGGAGTTGCATTTTCTTTGAGAGAAACCTTTTCAGCCGTCGACTTTCTCTATTTTTCCCGTTATCATGTGCGCTAAATGTCGCTCTCTTTCCACCCCTCGCCCCGCGGCTATGAGGAAATTCTGGAAAAATTCTTGGGAAAGTGGGAGGAAGTGGGAAAATTGCTTGGACGGTGGTACGCAGGATGGGGAAGGGGGTCATACCAAAGGAGAAATCCTAAAGAAGTGGGTCGCAATTTGCACAATTTTCTCTCAACGGCAGGACGCGTCCTTGTTTCAAGAAAAAATCTGGCTTAGATTTCACCACTCAATTTCTATAAAAAGATCCAAAAACACCTGGTTAAGAAGCGATGACAGAAGGAAACCATCCAATGAGGGGCAAAAAGTGAGACTCATAAATCTTCCAGCGAGCGATCGAGCGGCGATAGTCAACGGTGACTTCGGAGGGTGACAGACAGACACGGGAGAAACTGGAGCTTCTTATACAGCCCGATTCTTATCTATATAAGCGTACAGAAGATAGCGTGATGGCTAAAAGTGTCGCGTCACACCTCCACGGGATCAATTCTGCTCAAATTAGTAGCTTTCCGGTCCTTCAAAAGCTGATTTTGTACCAGCTTTCCAAGGAATTGAACTTGAATATGGGGGAAGTGGGGCTTGTTGTACTCCACTACCTTCAAAATTCAGTACAGATGTCAAACATGTCGCGCATCCTAAAGAGCCCAATAATGTTTATAAACTTAAATCAGAGCGACAGATACGCTTGGAACGCTGCCAATTCTAGGGAGCCCAGACTGAACAACAACCTAGATAGGACTAATCCCCTAAAAATGACACTAATACCCTCCTAATATGCATGCCTAAGATCCTAAATATGGCCCTTGAACCTTGGCAGCGAGCCCGCATTTCTCGTATAACAACCAGCTGACGCGTAATGTCCACATCGAGGCCATCGTGCCACCCAGCCACATTGCCGCTGCGTACTTCACAATCGGGGGGTGTGGCACTCAACAGCCAGACTCAGCGTCCACGATGACCGTATCAATAACGCTGTAGTGGAGACGACGGCGGCGACGGCGGCCCGGTTACACACCTAATGACAAATCCGATTAACCAGGTCATTTACGCCGAGCGGCGCTGCGAGTGCGATTCTTCGTAACCGGAAACAAATTGGTATGACAACGCGTTGTTGTCGTCGCGTCGCGCCACACGTGCACCCAGAACGATCGCTATAAATCACTTCGGAATTACATTCACCTTTCACTCGTACACCTTCTTCTTACTAGTCACTACACGAACATCTCATACCTCAGCATCAAGGTCAGCCAGTAATTTGGTCGCCTACTCAGCATTGTCCAACTCAAGGGATTCAAAACTCGGGTTTGGCACCGAGCCAGTCAATCAGATGCTCCTGAAAGATCTCTCAGATAGCACTGCTGCAACTGAAGCAGTACTAATGAATACGTGACTTCTCAAATTGCACTTTCTACTTCACTTCGAAAGGGAAATCGGTGACAACTCGGTAAAGAGGCAGTAATTCAAAGGATTCTTTGTGTTGAATTAGAAGTACTGTAGTTGCGAAACAACTCCTCAATTAATGGGCGGCAGTTCGGCGAGGGGGGGGGGATGAGTTTGCACTTTTACTACTTCCTACTGACGTGTAAACTCATCTAGGGAACCTTTCTTGAGTTGACAAGGTTCGACCATGTGCCTCGACGAGCTTGCTCCAACTTTACAAGCACTTTCTCAAAAGAACACAGGTTTCATCAGAGTGAGACTAGTGAGACTTGTAAACTGGAACTAGTGAAGGCAGCGAAAGTGCAAAATGCCCCCCCCCGTTGCCGAACTGCGCCGAAATTAGTTCACTCACTCCAGACAACCTCCACAGCTCTAACTAAATCCTCATCTCCATTTTCGCAATCTCAGCTTTACACAAAGAACCCTTTTGAAAGACTTCACTCCCCTTTAGTCAAGTCTAGGTGAATACCAAATACGCCACCTACCATTCCTCCCCGTATTTGCCTCATTTACCTCGCCAACGTTGTACGAATCCGCCATCCTTCTTGATGCCGATATTTCACGCTTTATTTCGCGCCATCTATCAAAATGTCCTAGTGACGCGTCTTTCGCCATTTACCTCCCATTTCCCAACATTCCATGCGGCGCTGCCTCTAAAAACCAAAAAAAAACTTCATTGTAGGCTAAATTGAGCTCAAAAGATAATTGCAATCTTGCTGGCATTGAGCCAAATGCCGCCCGACGAATATTCCAGATCTTCTCCTACAATATGATGGAAAATTAGCTCAGAGGAATGTAAATAGGGATGGACATTGGTTTCAAAAGCGGATTCCTATGTACAGTGGACGATGGGAAATCGCCTGAGCATAGTATAAACATACTACACCCGCCCACTCGGACGGAAAAAAAACACAAGAGGCTCCGATGGTACAGATCGCTGTCCATACTGTCACCGCATCTCATCTTGCTCCTATAAGACTCCAGGGATTCCCTAGTAAGCGGGTGAAGCCACATGGTGCCTCCACACAATGGACGGGCAGGTGCTGGTGGCGGAATGCTGCCCGTGTGTGTGTGTGGGAGGGGAAGGTTGGAAAAAAAAAACTACCCACTCAGG